CACACCCGCCGCCACCGCCACACCCGCCACCGTCGCCGCCACCGCAGCCACGCCCGCCGCCAACGCCACATCCGCCAACGCCACCTCCAACTGCTGCCAAGGCAAATTCCACCACACCCGTCACCAATGCCACCGCACTCGCCGCAGCCGCCGCACCCGCCGCCAACGCCACACCCGCCACCGTCGCCGCCACCGCAGCCACGCCCGCCGCCAACGCCACACCCGCCAACGCCACCTCTAACGCTGCCAAGGCAAATTCCACCACACCCGTCACCAATGCCACCGCACTCGCCGCAGCCGCCGCACCCGCCGCCAACGCCACACCCGCCACCGTCGCCGCCACCGCAGCCACGCCCGCCGCCAACGCCACACCCGCCGACGCAAACTCCAATGCCGCCAAGGCAAATTCCATCACACCCGTCACCAATGTCACCGCATTTGCCGCAGCCGCCACACCCGCCGCCACCGCCACACCCGCCACCGTCGCCGCCACTGCAGCCACGCCCGCCGCCAACGCCACATCCGCCAACGCCGACCTCCAACGCCGCCAAGGAAAATGCCACCACACCCGTCACCAATGCCACCGCACTCGCCGCAGCCGCCACACCCGCCGCCACCGCCACACCCGCCACCGTCGCCGCCACCGCAGCCACGCCCGCCGCCAACGCCACACCCGCCAACGCCACCTCTAACGCTGCCAAGGCAAATTCCACCACACCCGTCACCAATGCCACCGCACTCGCCGCAGCCGCCACACCCGCCGCCACGCCACACCCGCCACCGTCGCCGCCACCGCAGCCACACCCGCCGCCAACGCCACACAGCCACCGTCGCCGCCATTGCAGCCACACCCGCCGCCAACGCCACATCCGCTAAGGCCGACTCCAACGCCGCCAAGGAAAATGCCACCACACCCGTCACCGATGCCACCGCACTTGCCGCAGCCGCCACACCCGCCGCCACCGCCACACCCGCCACCGTCGCCGCCACCGCAGCCACGCCCGCCGCCAACGCCACACCCGCCAACGCCACCTCCAACGCCGCCAAGGCAAATTCCACCACACCCGTCACCAATGCCACCGCACCTCCCGCAGCCGCCACACCCGCCGCCACTGCCACACCCGCCACCGTCGCCGCCACCGCAGCCACGCCCGCCCCCAACGCCACACCCGCCAACGCCACCTCCAATGCCGCCAAGGAAAATTCCACCACACCCGTCACCAATGCCACCGCACTCGCCGCAGCCGCCGCACCCGCCGCCAACGCCACACCCGCCACCGTCGCCGCCACCGCAGCCACGCCCGCCGCCAACGCCACACCCGCAACCGTCGCCGCCACCGCAGCCACACCCGCCGCCAACGCCACACCCGCCAGCCGGCACCGGCACCGCTGCATCCACAACCGCTACCAACGCCACCGCAGACACACCCGCCGCAAACGCCACACCTACCGACACCGCAGCGGCACCTGCAGCAGCCGCCACCGAGCGACACATCCGTCACAACTGCCACAACCAGAGGCGACGCCGCCGCCGCTGTTGCCGCATTTGCGGCACTCGAAGTGACTCGATGGACAGGGGGGGAGAGATAAGGACAGCTCCGCCGGCGGCTGCATCACCAGAGGCGACGCCGCCGCCGCTGTTGCCGCATTTGCGGCACTTGAAGTGACTCGATGGACAGGGGGAGAGAGATAACGACAGCTCCGCCGGCGGCTGCATCACCAGAGGCGACGCCGCCGCCGCTGTTGCCGCATTTGCGGCACTTGAAGTGACTCGATGGACAGGGGGGGAGAGATAACGACAGCTCCGCCGGCGGCTGCATCACCAGAGGCGACGCCGCCGCCGCTGTTGCCGCATTTGCGGCACTTGAAGTGACTCGATGGACAGGGGGAGAGAGATAACGACAGCTCCGCCGGCGGCTGCATCACCAGAGGCGACGCCGCCGCCGCTGTTGCCGCATTTGCGGCACTTGAAGTGACTCGATGGACAGGGGGGGAGAGATAACGACAGCTCCGCCGGCGGCTGCATCACCAGAGGCGACGCCGCCGCCGCTGTTGCCGCATTTGCGGCTCTTGAAGTGACTCGATGGACAGGGGGGGAGAGATAACGACAGCTCCGCCGGCGGCTGCATCACCAGAGGCGACGCCGCCGCCGCTGTTGCCGCATTTGCGGCACTTGAAGTGACTCGATGGACAGGGGGGGAGAGATAACGACAGCTCCGCCGGCGGCTGCATCACCAGAGGCGACGCCGCCGCCGCTGTTGCCGCATTTGCGGCTCTTGAAGTGACTCGATGGACAGGGGGGGAGAGATAACGACAGCTCCGCCGGCGGCTGCATCACCAGAGGCGACGCCGCCGCCGCTGTTGCCGCATTTGCGGCTCTTGAAGTGACTCGATGGACAGGGGGGGAGAGATAACGACAGCTCCGCCGGCGGCTGCATCACCAGAGGCGACGCCGCCGCCGCTGTTGCCGCATTTGCGGCACTTGAAGTGACTCGATGGACAGGGGGGGAGAGATAACGACAGCTCCGCCGGCGGCTGCATCACCAGAGGCGACGCCGCCGCCGCTGTTGCCGCATTTGCGGCTCTTGAAGTGACTCGATGGACAGGGGGGGAGAGATAACGACAGCTCCGCCGGCGGCTGCATCACCAGAGGCGACGCCGCCGCCGCTGTTGCCGCATTTGCGGCTCTTGAAGTGACTCGATGGACAGGGGGGGAGAGATAACGACAGCTCCGCCGGCGGCTGCATCACCAGAGGCGACGCCGCCGCCGCTGTTGCCGCATTTGCGGCTCTTGAAGTGACTCGATGGACAGGGGGGGAGAGATAACGACAGCTCCGCCGGCGGCTGCATCACCAGAGGCGACGCCGCCGCCGCTGTTGCCGCATTTGCGGCACTTGAAGTGACTCGATGGACAAGGGGGGAGAGATAACGACAGCTCCGCCGGCGGCTGCATCACCAGAGGCGACGCCGCCGCCGCTGTTGCCGCATTTGCGGCTCTTGAAGTGACTCGATGGACAGGGGGGGAGAGATAACGACAGCTCCGCCGGCGGCTGCATCACCAGAGGCCACCCCGCCGCCGATGATGCCGCCTTTGCGGCTCTTGAAATGACTCTATGGACAGGGGGGAATAGATAACGACACCTCCTCCGGCCTCTGTTTACTAGCTTTGTTGCGACGTTCATGGTATATCGTCTAGGGAACTGCATTGTGGCTATTATTACACGCCCTGTCTTAGAATCAAACACGCAGCCCAGTCCTGATCCTCTGTTTGTAGGGTAGGAATTCTCGAGGTACCATCACCCTCCGTCTGGAACTTTTTGGCCTTTTCGGCCAAGACGCATTAGCCACTATTTAATCTCTCCCTGTTCTGCCCCCCTCGCCTTTGCCGTCCTCTATTCCTAATTACCTTCCCGCCTGCTGCCCCTTTTTCTGTCTTTGGCCCTTTAATCACCCTGCTCCTTAATGTTGGTTCTCCTTCTACTTCTTCCCCCTCTGTGTTCCACTTTTGTTTTCTTTCCACTTCCCTCTTCATTTTCTATGTCTTTACTCTCAGCCCCTCTCGCTCTTTCATTCATTCACCTACATCTTGTTTAATATAAACTACTCCGTTTGTATACTTTCTCTAGCTGACAATTAGCGTCTCCCATTACCTCTGTCTTTCTCTCTACTTTCTACCAACGATTAGCTTCTTCCTTAAC